CAAGAAAAATTAGAATTTTTTTCTGTTTTAATGCATATTTTCCTCATGCACTGTTATAGTATGTATATTAAAGAGGTTTGAGACCTTATTGGTTCCCATTTATCTAAAAAATAGAGATTTTATAGGGGTAAGTACACTAATTAGATCGTATATGAACTTGAAATAAATTACTCGTTAGAAAGTAGAAATGATGACAATGTACTATGAAAATATGTTTAGCCTACATTAATATATGGTTTGGTATTTTTAAACAACACTAAAGTGTCTAAAAATTATAGATATAATTTATCAGAAAATTCAATTTATTCGTAGGGGTTAACCCACATATTTAAAAAAAAAATTAGAAATTTGGTAGTTTTGTTTTAATGCATATTTGCATCATGCACTGACAGAGTATGAAGATTAAAGAGGTTTGAGACCTTATGTGTTCTCATTTCTATAGAAAATAGATATTTTATAGGGGTTAGTACACTAATTAGATCGTATATAAACTTTAGCCTACATTAATGTACATTGATAGTGAGGTTCGATATTTATAAACAACACTAAAGAGTCTAAAATTATAGATAGCAGTTATCAGAAAATTCAATGTTTTCGTAGGGGTTAACCCACATATTTCAAGAAAAATTAGAAAATTTGGTATTTTTATTTTAAAGCATATTTGCATCATTCCATGACATATTATTAAGGTTAAAGAGGTTTGACACCTTATGTGCTCTTATTTCTCTAAAAATAGAGATTTATAGGGGTTAGTACACTAATTAGATCGTATATGAAATTTAGATAAATTACTTGTTAGAAAGTTAGTAATGACGACCATGTACCATGGAAATATGTTTAGCCTACATTAATAAACATTAAGAGTGTGGTTTGGTATTTCAAAACGACACTAAAGTGTCTAAAAATTATAGATAACATTCAACGTAAAATTCAATTTTTTTGTAAGGGTTAACCTACATATTTATAAAAAAATTAAAAAAATTTGGTACTTTTGTTTTATTGCCTATTTCATCAAGTCCTAAAGATTAAAGAGGTTTGATACTTATGGGTTAACCCCTATGAAAAAATTGAACTTAATGTATATTAATGTAGGCTAAAAATATTTGCATGGTATATGTTATAACTTTCTAACGAGTAATTTACTTAAACTTTATATACGATCTAATTAGTATACTAACCCCTATAAAATCTCTATATCGAAAGGAATCTGAACACAGAAGGTCTCAAACCTCTTTAATCTTCATACTATGTCATGTCATGATTCAAATACGCATTAAAACAAAAATACTAAATTTTCTATTTTTTCTTGAAATATGTGGGTTAACCCCTATGAAAAAATGAATTTTCTGATAAATGCTTTCTAAAATTTTAAACACTTTAGTATTGTTTCAAGATATTAAACCACACTCTCAATGTATATTAATGTAGGCTAAACATATTTTCATGGTACATGGTCATCATTTCTAACTTTTCAACGAATAATTTACTTAAACTTCATATACGATCTAATTAGTGTCTTAGCCCCTATAAAATCTCTATTTTCTAAAGAAATAGGAACACAGAAGGTCTCAATCCTCTTTAATATTCATACTATGTCAGTTCATGATGCAAATATGCATTTAAAGAAAAATACCTTATTTTCTAATTTTTTCTTGAAATATGTGGGTTAATCCTCACGAAATAAATTGAATTTTCCAATAAATGTTATATCTAATTTCTAGACACTTTTGTGTTCTTTAAAAATACCTAACCACAATCCTAATGTAAATTAATGTGGGCTAAACATATTTTGCATGGTACTTTTTCATCATTTCCAATTTTCCAACGAGTAATTTATTTAAACTTCATATTCAATCTAATTACTGTAATAAACCCGACCAAAAAATAGAATTTTCCAATAAATCCTATCTATAATTTTAGACAGTTTATTGTTGTTTTAAAATACCTAACCACAAACCAATGTATATTAATGTAGGCTAAAAATATTTGCATGGTATATGTTCATCATTTCTAACTTTTCAAGTAGTAATTTATTTAAACTTCATATACCACCTAATAAGTGTACTAACGCCTATAATATATATATATATATATATATATATATATATATATATATATATTTCTAGAGAAATGGGAACACACAAGATCTCAAACATCTTTAATCTTCATACTATGTCATTTCATGATTCACATATGCACTAAAACTAAAATACCAAATTTTCTATTTTTTGGAAATATGTGGGTTACCCCTGTGAAAAAAAAATTAGTGTATTAATCCCTATAAAATATAATTAGTGTATTTTATTTTCATGGTACATGGTCATCATTTCCAACTTGCCAACGAGTAATTTATTTAAACTTCATATCAGATATAATTAGTGTATTAATCCCTATAAAATCTCTATTTTTTAGAGAAATGGAACATATAAGGTCTCACAGCTCTTTAAATTTTTATACTATGTCAGAGCATGATGCAAATATGCATTAAAACAAAAATACCATATTTTCAAATTTATCTTGAAATATGTGAGTTAATCCCTACGAAAAAATTGAATTTTCCAATAAATGCTATCTCTAACTTTTAGACACTTAAGTTTTGTTTGAAAATAAATAACCACAATCCCAATGTATATTAATGTAGGATATACATATTTTCATGGTACATGGTCATCATTTCTAACTTTACAACGAGCAATTTATTTAAACTTCATATACGATCTAGATAGTATACTAACCCCTATAAATCTCTACTTTCTAGAGAAATGAAAACAACTAAGGTCTTAAACCTCAATAATATTAATATTATGCCAGTGCATGATGCAAATAGGCATTAAACAGAAATAGCTTATTTTCTTTTTTGTCTTGAATTATGTGGGTTAATCCCCCTACGAAACAATTGAATTTTCCAATAAATGATATCCTAACCACAAACCCAATGTATATTAATGTAGGCTAAAAATATTTGCATGGCATATGTTCATCAGTTCTAACTTTCCAACAAGTAATTTATTTAAACCTTATATACAAACTAATTAGTGTACTAACCCCGATAAAATCTCTATTTCTAGAGAAATGTGAACACAGAATGTCTAAAACCTCTTTAATCTTCATACTATGTCAGTCATGATTCAAATACGCATTAAAACAAAAATACCAAATTTTCTAATTTTTCTTGAAATATGTGGGTTAACCTCTATGAAAAAATTGAATTTTCTGATAAATGCTTTCTATAATTTTAGTCACTTTAGTATTGTTTAAAAATAATAAAGCACACTTTCAATGTATATTAATGTAGGCTAAACATAGTTTCATGGTACATGGTCATCATTTCTAACTTTTCAACGAATAATTTATTTAAACTTCATATAAGATCTAAGATCTAAAGTACACTAATTAAATCATATATGAAGTTTAAATAAATTACTCGTTGGAAAGTAGAAATGATGATAATGTACCATGAAAATATGTTCAGCCTACATTAATATATGGTTTAGTATTTTTAAACAACATTAAAGTGTTTAAAAATTATAGATAGAATTTATCAGAAAATTCAATTTGTTCGTAGGGGTTAACCCACATATTTCAAAAAAAATTTAGAAAATTTGGTATTTTTGTTTTAATGCATATTTGCATCATGCACTGACATAGTATGAAGATTAAAGAGGTTTGAGACCTTATGTGTTCTCATTTCTCTAGAAAATTTAGATTTTATAGGGGTTAGTACACTATTTTTATCGTATATAAACTTTAAATAAATTACTCGTTGGAAAGTTAGAAATGATGACCATGTACCATAAAAATATGTTTGGCCTACGTTAATAAACATTGAGAGTATGGTTTGGTATTTCTAAACGACACTAAAGTGTCTATAAAAATTATAGATAGCATTCAACAGAAAATTCGTTTTTTGTAAGGGTTAATCCACGTATTTCAATAAAAAATAGAGAATTTGGTATTTTGTTTTAATGCATATTTTCATCATGCCCTAACATAGTATGGAAATTAAATAGATTTGACACTTCATGTGTTCTTATTTCTCTATAAAATAGAGATTTTATATGGTTAATACACTAATTAGATCGTATATGAAATTTAAATAAATTACTTGTTGGTAGAGATGAAACTAGAAAAAAATACAATGGAAATGGTTTTATGTGAGAAAATTTTCATTTTAGCATAATATAAAAGTTAATAAATTTTGTAGAAATATATATTCTGCAAATTAATTGAAAGTTTATCATTAAAAAAACTAAGGGTTTGGACAATATTTAAAATTTATGTATAGTAAGATATTTTAAAATACAATTAACTGAATCAACATATATGATTAATCGATTTTCAAAATTTAGATTTGTGTAAAAATAGATTTTTTATTTTCCAACCATTTAATTTTAAACTTCAATACTGCGCATGCAGGAAACCAACTATGTTTGTAAATGTGATGCAGAATAATAATGAATTACAATTATCGTTGAAACGGTGATAAACCTTAAAATTAATTGCTTTGATTGTGAAGTGTCAAGTGTGTGTAAGATAGATTCCAACGTGTAAGAAGATTTAAGCAGTTGGTCTGCCATCATTCAACAAAAGTGGGAGAAAAATACAGCTTTTCTTCACGTGAGTTCCCTTTTTAATTTGTTGTTTTCACATTAAGCATTGCCTATCAATAAAAGTTTAATAACTATACTTTTCGTAATTTTTATGTTTTTTTAAAAAAATCGATTTACTAGGCCACAACGGACCAACTCAGATGACCACTAGTCTTACTGGAGGAGGCGTGGATTTCGTACCCCAAATGTCTGAAAGATTAGCGTGGTCACCGTAATTTTTATGTCCGTACACTCTAGTCTATGAGGATATGTAAACTTCAATATATGTTAGTGGAAGATATTTGAATAAACTCAATTAGTATTGACTCACTGGAAGTTCTTTGAAGTGTGAAAATGATGCATCTATAACGACTGTGCAGCAAGAATATAACAAGTATTAACTATTTGGTTGGAAAATCTTTAGAAATCAATTTTATAAGGAACACACTTTATCTGGTACATAATGATTCAGAAATCTTACACATACATTGTATACACAGGCGAGCACATGTATTGTATTTTTACTATTTGTTATACACACAAAAATCAACATAACATTTCAAAAACAGAAACTAAATACATATGTCTATCTAGCCATGAATAGAAGCAAAATGATTAATCAAAGCTAACGCATTACTCGTTAAATGAGCAATAACCAAAATCCTCCCTCTAACCAAGACCTTAACCTTCCCGTTCATGTCATCTCCTTCAAATCCTTCCGTGCACGTGTTCTCATCAGTTAGAGCCGCGCTAACCCAAGTCTGAATATCACTCATGTAGACCTCATAGTTCGAACCACTTAGCTGACCCATCTCACCAATCGATTTTCTAAGCTCCTCCAACGTGTCACCTAACTCCTCGACGCAGTCTCTCATGGCCGAGACTTCTCTCGGCTTGAGCCGACTACTACTCGAGAGACGCACCATCATTGCTGACGTGGTTTTAGCCGAGGCTAACGTGATGTTGAGAGCCGCGTGAGCCATGAGCTTAGGGCTGGTTTGGATGAGACTGGATTGAGTTGAGAGTGAATGGACACAGAGTCTTGGGTATGTTGTGAATGTGCATGATGATTTTACAAACTCTGTGTTTGTTGTTGTTGTATTAACCGACTTGAGCATGGTTATGATAATGGTTACTAGAAGAGATGTGACGAAATGATGATTAAAGCTAAAAGATTCAGCCATTTAAAAGTATATATTATGAGCTTTATGAGATTGTGAATGTGATGATGTGTGTTGTAGTTTTTCTATGTAACTGAGGTTTATATAGAGAGAATTATTTAGATATTATTTATTTAAAGAACATAAAATAAAAATAAAAAATTTAAGAACATAAAAAAAATTAATACGCAAGTGGGAATTTGGTTGCCTGAACGAAGATATTTTATTTTTAAATGGGAAAAATAAAGAGAAATATCTAACAGAAAGCAACACACGGCTGAGACACTGAGTGTGGGGTATGGAATTTGTAGTTTTGAGCACAAAACATTATCATTTGTTTAAAGCATTAATCACATTTATCTACTTAATTGGTTAAATGAATCATTTCCCTATGGACAATTTGTTGTCTCTTTCAGAAGCAAATGAAGTCGGTAACATCCGATGGTTCTTGTTTCGAATGATCCTCTAGCAATATATAGCCTCATAGGGTTTAAATGTACATTTGTTTATTATAACTAGGTATGTGAATAAGATTTGTTTCTGAAATATTTTTCTCAGCTTGGGTTTCAAGTACGAAACAGAAATATAGTTCTTTGATAAATTGAACATAACAGTAGTTAAACAAAAGTTTTGATCACTAAAGATCAAATAAAATGCTAAAAGATCTCATTATGGAAGACAAATTGTGGACGTAATGCAAACCCCCGACACATTTAAGGTTCTAATCGCGTCCTTGTAATTATAATCAATGAATGTGAAACTCCCAAACATATATCCAATGAATGTGACAATAAGGTGTGCCTATCGTCCTTGTAATCGTGATCAACGTAGCTGAATGTGGCTATACTGTCATCTTCAAGATTTTCCAATTTGGCCCCAAATCATTGTACCCGCTCCCAAATTATCCAATGTTTATCCTAAATTGCATACTGAAACACGTCACACACATGGGTATAAACAGTCGCACGTGATATGTGGTGTCAAGTCATATTGAGTTGCGCACATCTCATAAAAAAAAAATTGGTAAACCGTAATCTAGACAGATAATGTGAAAACTTCAATAGCTACGCACTGTAGTAATCTGAGTATAGACGGATTCAAACTCAGGTCCTGTAGAATTCATGGAACATCATACTATCATCCAACCACAGATACGTAGTTTTATTAGAAAATTCATAGAACCACTAAATACATCTCCATAACCTGTTGGTTTGTTAATTAATTTTATTTTTTTCAATACCAAAATTAAAGTTTCTCCAACTCTTTAGTCCCCGTTAATGAAAGAAGTTAGGCTCATAGGTTGCCCATTTCATATACTATAAGATTATTTATGAAACAATATATAGGCGATCGACTTGTACAATATTGCTAATTGTTTTTCCTATAAATACGCCATATATGTATACAAAATGTATAATAGATATCTTATAGATTTAAGATATTTATTTGGTTGTTTGTACTATAGGATATCCAACGTACTGTTGACAGAAAAAGAAGATATCCAACGTACTATCATTACCTTGCTTAAGTAAGAAATGTGATAGCTTAGAAAGAATATAGTAGTGCATGGATGCAAATGATGTGTACTATAGTTATAGAAGAACAATATACCACTAAATCAATCATACTATCTTCTTACTTATTCAAATAAACTTGCCTATGTTATATTTACCAAAACAAAACTAATAATTTAAATCAGTTCACTACAAGTAGCATGTGGTAGGGGTGGGACGGATCGGATATCCGGAGTATTTTGGGATATCCGGATCCGGATCCGGATTCGGCGGATCCGTAAAATTGATATCCGGATTCGGATTAGGGCCTTCCGGATATCCGGGGTTCGGATATCCGGACTAAAACTCGAATATCCACGGATATCCGGATCCGTTTTTTTTTTAAAAAAAAAAAATTAAAAAATCAAAATTAAATTTAAAATTTTAAAATTAAACAAATATTCATTCAATTAAAAATTTATTTTTTTGCAAAAAAGTTTAAAAATTTAATAAAACGAAGTTTTAGTTATTTTAATAAAAATTTTATATAATATATCAATATAAATTTAATTATATTTTAAATATTTTAAAAATATTTAGTGGGCCCGGATCCGGATCCGGATCCGGATATCCGGACTAAAATTTTCACTATCCGGATCCGGATCCGGATTCGCCGGATCTGTAAAATCACTATCCGGATCCGGATCCGGACCCCCCGGATATCCGTTTTTTCGAAGCGGATCGGGACGAATCCCGGATCGGATAGCGGATAGCGGATATTAAGTCCCAGCCCTAGCATGTGGTAAGTGGAAAACGTAAGGCAAGACGTGAATTCGACGGTCGTGGTTCAAATCCTATTCGAAACTAAGTTGTTATTTGTTGTAATTTGCCAAACGAAAAAATCATGTTTTAGGCTTCATTATAAAAGTCCGACATTAGATTAGTTGTCCGTAGGATTATTTGGATTTCACCCTAGATACCCCATTTTAAACAAAAAAGATCTCTATTCCATTAAATTCTGATATATATTTTTTTCATCCCGTTAATGTAGAGGAAACTAAAAAACGAAACTATTTAATGCATATAGGCCTCTTCCTCTTTTACGTAGGTCAGTCGGGTTGAACAAAAAACAAAACGTAGGTCAGTGCGTGTGTATTAACGTTTGTATGAATGATCTTAGAGCATCTCCAAAGTAAAATTCTATTTTTTCCTCTAAAATATGCTCCAACTCTACTCCATTTTCTACTGGAATGATGTACGAATAAGTAACAGATTATTCCATTTATCCATTTATGGAGTAAACTTTATTATGAAGTAGAAAATATAGTATAGTTGAAGTATTTTCTACTCCATATTTCATTTTACTTCATTTTAGAGTCTTATACAATAAAGTAGGCTTCTCTCCCTTCTCATGCATCCACATCAGCATTTGTGAGGGGGGCAAAAAAAGCCATGTCAGCAATAACCTAAACCAAATAGACCAAACAAAATTTATCTCTCCCATTTCGGTTTCAATTGGTTTTCTGTTTGTCGGTTTTGTGGTTGTTGTTGGGCTGGCTATTTTGTGTGATAGAGGCCCAATTTTTTTTTTGAAGTTTTTGCTGTTAAAAATAAAGTTAGCGTACAAAATAAAGTTAAGTTGGAGATGCCCTTAGAACATATACATCAATAAATTTTAGGGAAAATTCACATTCTTCTAAAATAATTATTAAAATAATATAAAATTGGTGAACTCGAGTCACAAAAGATCTAGCGTGAATCAGTTCACTGCTTTTTATGTGGACTCCACGCCACGTGACGGTCCACGATGATCCACTAATTTTTTTTTTTATAACAAACAGAAAAAAAATAATACTTTTATGAACCTCATTGGACCGTTCATAAATTTACATGCTCTTATATATTCGAATGGTACAGAATCGAAGCGATAAAAAAATCAAGGACTAAAAAGTCGTATCCATCAGACAAACCCATGTGGTTCCAACGAAGTTTACGTAAATGTTTCTAACATCACTACCAAATTCATTTATTATTAGTATTACCAAGGAGCAGGTGTGGTGGTAAATAAGTGTGTAATATGCACCTCGCCACTCGATTCAGTTCTCGTTGGAAGATATTATTTACATTGCTTGCTCAAATTTTCGGTGAAGAGTTGAAACTTTAAGCTATAAATTACTCGGCTATATATTTTGATAAAAATTTAACAAACCCGACACACTATTTCACATTTAGCGAGAACACTACTAATACATTTTAGACATACCACAAAATATTTCTTAAACGCTAGTTTTAAATTAATACTTTTTAGCAAACGCATTTATCAAGGACAAGGCGTTGCTGGTTTCGTGGCCCACGTTAACAATTCTAGCACGAACCGAGTTCTTGATCCGTCCATCCATGAAACGACCCGAGAACCCATCGGAGCAAGTGTTCTCATCGGTCAAAGCCGTACTAGTCCAAGTCTGAGCATTACTCATGTGGAACGAGAACTGTTCTTGATTTCTTGCACTCCCACATAGCTTCAACTCTTGGACCGACTTGGTCAAACGGTCAATAGTATCGTTGATCTCCTCCACGCAGTCCTTGATGGCTTCGACCTCACGCTTCTTGAGGCCCTTGAAACGCGTCAGACGCGAGACAAAGAGTTTCGTGGATTGGGCTCGGCTTAGGGTAACGGCTAGAGCGGTCTCGGCTAAGCGTTTAGGGCTTGTTTGGATGGCGTTTGCGTAGGCAGAGAGGGAGTGGAAGCACACGGCTGGGTATGTGGTGGTTTTGCAAGAGGATTGGATGAAGTTAACGGCTTTGTTGGAGGCTGCGGTGGCGGTAGTGAGCGCCGGCGAGAAGAAGTAGGAGATTGAGAGGATTAGAAGGAGAGTTTGATTTAGTTTTGCCATTTGTGTTTTTTGTAATAAGAAAGATAAGACAGAGTGTGTGGAGAGGAAAGAGTTGGGGTTGAATATTTATAGTGTGTACAAGTATTTTGCTTATGGTTTTATTGATGCTAGTATTGGACGTAACACGCGGTGGAATATTAAGCAGTGAATTCGACTTTTACAATCTAGGAATATGTTCAGATTGGTGACATTTAATTATCTGATTAATTGTTTTACTTTTCTATCGTATGTTTTACTTTAGGTTCTACCATTCAAATAATAAAACGAATATTCTTCTAACCTATGCTCGGATTCCATATACACTTGTTGGTATCTATTAATAAAGCAAACGCTTAATTGATGTTTACTGAAACTTACAGATTATTGGTTATTTTATAATTTGTACTATATTAGTCACTAGCTAAATGTTCAAAATTGCATTACAAAACATGAATCGCATAGTTTTCTTTGGTTGAAGCTAATGGTCAATCAATCTACCGACTAACATTTCGCATTACGTGTGAAAAACCAATTAGAGGTAGTTCTCGAAAAAAACAATTAGAGGTCTAAATGATACTACCTCCGTTCTTTAGTATGGGATGTTTTACCAAAAACACAAGAATTAAGAAATTTACTTTCTACCAAATAATAATAGATATTTATAGCTGATAAACCAATCATAAATAATATAATAAAATATTATTTTGGTCAATTAATTTTTAATAAAGTTAAAATACATTAAAACTACTAAAATATTTTATATTTTGAAACATCAAAATTTTTTCTAAAAGATCTTAGATTATGGAACGAAGGTAGTATTAGATAAACTTTAGGTGCACCGTGCAGGGCTCAATTATTAGTAGGAATTGGGAATGACCCGATCGATTAAATTAGTGTTGATATAAAAGCATGGCAGGGTCCACTCAACGTCGGTCCAGATCATAACGTGAAATATCAATGCATATTATTATATTAAACAAAATAATCAGAAACGAGTAGAGATAGGCATTTGTCGCTTTATTCAAACCAAGAAAGGAAGAAAACAGAGCGATAAAAGAAATTCCACCAATCACGCCGTTAATACAAGGAAATAATGAATATTGGATTTGAACATTATCATCGTCAAAATCGAACAACAGATATGCTCATAAGTCAAAAATAACTCTCCTGATTCAGATGACCACAGTAGTGTTTAAAACTTTTAACGTGCAAATATGTTAGGACGAAGGTCATAAAACTTCCTAACAAATTTGTTTTCTTTGCCAGTCACATGAAGTAATATATCACGTAATCACTGGTCGTACTTAAATACTTTTTATATGCACAAAATTCTACAGATCCATTTTTCTGATATGTAGCATTTTGAAAACAAGTTTCTATACAACAATATGGAAAAGATAGTTGGAGTTATGCCGAATACATCTAATATGTCGTTTGTACATGTGAATGACGTATAAAATGATATCTTATTTATAATAACATATAAATTGATAACGTAATATTTTTTTAACAGTAACGTACCGACATAACCGCACTGTTGTTTCTTGTGCGGTACGGAGAAATGAAGTTGCCAAGTTGGCATGTACTAATATCTAAGAACTCAATATCTAATTGGTTCCAATAGGCGTCACTAAAATATCTCCTAAGCAGTGTTGAAATAGATCATTGATTGGGTGGGTCCTTCACTGAGTGAAGGTGAGGAGGACACGACGAGAACAAAAATAAGAAATCCCACAAAATAAGACATTTTTAAATGCAAAAGACACGACTGACCAATAATTATAGCATTTGGAATGTACAGTACATGTTGATTTATGAACGTGATCCAGAGAGATTACTGGGTCAAATGCACCGTCGTACCCACCTTCTCCGCGTAAGGGCATACATTATATATTACTCTTTATTTTATGCGTGTGTACTCGATTTTGGAAGAATTAACTTTTCCTTTTATATACCTTTATCATGTAGAGTGTGGACTCGACCGGTTTGGAAAAAGGAGTGTGAAAATATTTCAGTGGAAATCCATAGAAAAAAGAAAAGGTATCCACTAATTAGTAATTAAGTCTTACTTATTAACAAACATTTTAAAAAGAACATTTTGAGATAATGGTAAATAACGCTAAAAAGACTGAAAAATGGCAAGAGTAAATTTCACCCGCTTTCTCTCTAATATCCAATTCGCCGTATGTTTAGGGTGGTGACCCTGCAGTCTTCAGGACTACGTCGTTGTTCAAATTGATTCTTTTTTGGGTATCTGCAAATCTCATGTTGAGAGTCTTTACCCCACAACACATTCCAAAGAAAATAAATCATAACGACTAACTTTCCGCAAAGGCATTAGATAATGACACTGCTTGTTTCCTTGCACAAGTTAACTAGCCGGGCCTGTACTGACTCCATCTTAACCGGCATGAACTAGTGTCATAGAGGCGGATCTAGAAAATATTTTGAGTGGAGACAAAAAAAAAAAATTTTACTAATAAATTTTTGTTTGATATCTTTTACTCCCTCCGTTTTAACTTAATTGTCATTTTAGAGTTTTGCACACAGATTAAGAAAATAATTAATTTTACATATTTTTAAAATAAAAACACAATTACCTAAACACCTAACCACTTTTCAACCAATGAAAAAATAGAATAACATTTAAAATTAATAAATTTTGCATTGAAATTATAAACCGACACTTATTTTGAAACGAAAATTTTACTCTAAAATGATATATAATTTGAAACGGAGGGAGTAATAAAAATAATATTTACAAGAAAAAATCAACTAAATAAAAACAATGTAAAAAAGATAAGTGGGAATTGAAGCCAAGTTTAGTGGGTGCATAGGGAAAGATTTAGCCAAATAAACTGAAAGATGTATGTTTATTCAAATGCAAATAAATTTACTTGAAATTATTGTGGGGGCAGCTGCCACCTTCTTCCACTACGTAGATTTGCCCATGGTTCTCGTCAATATGGTCATCCTTAGTCCAAGTGACCAACGCTTGAGCTATTTTTCCGAATATCAGGAGGTTTGGGATCGAAGCTCATAATCTCTCCAAGCCCGAAACTACAACATGTAATATTAGTTTTGCTTAAGCCTTGTTCATATGAAGCAAAAGCTGGCGGATAGATTGATTTTACAGGGGGTCACATGTATATAACTTTCCAAAGATAAAGAAAAAAAGTGTTACTAAGAGTTTAAACTCTGGTTTTTGTGGTGTCAATTTGACATTATTCTGGTGTCAAATTGACGAGACCCGGCTCTGATATAAATTGGACATGAAGCAAAAAAAAAAAATCGGGTTGATTACATATAAAATTTTGGAAATGTAGATGGTTGTTTTCGAACTCAGCACCTCAAACATATATAAACTGAAAGATGTATGTTTATTCAAATGCAAATAAATTTACTTGAAATTATTGTGGGGGCAGCTGCCACCTTCTTCCACTACGTAGATTTGCCCATGGTTCTCGTCAATATGGTCATCCTTAGTCCAAGTGACCAACGCTTGAGCTATTTTTCCGAATACCAGGAGGTTTGGGACCGAAGCTCATAATCTCTCCAAGCCCGAAACTACAACATGTAATATTAGTTTTGTTTAAACCTTGTTCATATGAAGCAAAAGCTGGCGGATAGATTGATTTTACAGGGGGTCACATGTATATAATTTTCAAAAGATAAAGAAAAAAAGTGTTACTAAGAGTTTAAACTCTGGTTTTTGTGGTGTCAATTTGACATTATTCTGGTGTCAATTGACGAGACCCGGCTCTGATATAAATTGGACTGGAAGCAAAAAAAAATATTGGGTTGATTACATATAAAATTTTGGAAATGTAGATGGTTGTTTTCGAACTCAGCACCTCAAACATATAAATACTAACAATAAACCATCTACGCTACTAAAGATATTTGTTCAAACTAAGACCGAATAATTACATATTCAAAATAAGGCGAGACACATGCTTCCTTTCCTTGTACCCAGGCTACAGCAACGGACTCCCTTTGGATTTTACTAGGTCTGCCCCTAGCTCCGTCACTCGTACTGTCAGAATGCTTCAGCTTTGGGATGGATTTGGTCAGAGCCAATGTTGATATCACACATCGGGAGGACAGTCCTGATGTATTCCGAACTGGTTATTAGACGTATCCCTCTTCAAAAGGGGTGTGATACGTCATTAAATGAAATTTTGTTAACAAATAATTTTAAATTAAAAATAATAGTTTGTTAAACTTAAAAGAGAAGTCTCATGTTCTTTGTCTTTATTTTAAGACTTTCTTTATTATGTCTCATTTTCTTGTCATGATCAAAACGGAAGTAGCATGATCTTCTTGTTTACTTGAAAAAATGTGGATAAACATAAACAATTCTAAGAGCCAAGTTAATATAAAATTTTGAGACATTAAAGAAAAAGAAATAATAAAATTTGTACTTTTTATGTACTGTTTTGCCATTGCCAGCAGGAGTAAATAACAAATTTGTACATATAAAAATGTAAGTTAAATATCATAGAGATTTGAACAAAAAAAAAAATATATATCATAGAGTTTACGAGTAAATCCAACATGAACCGTAAAGCTAACAGTGATTGAAGGTGGATGCATGGAAACTTTTTACGCTAGGTCACTCTGTAACAAAGTTTCTAAATTGGGAAAGGTTTATACCGAATTATATATAAGACACATAACTTCATTACACACCATTAAATATACTGATAATAATAGTATTATTTACTAATAATAATTATTTATCTCAAGCATCCCAAAAAGGGGGCAAGAAACTCCATACGTGTGTGGTATATATAGTTAGTTAGTTGAGATAAACTTGGTTATACCACTGTGTTGGTTTTTCTCCCTTTTCCATGTTCCATTATCCGACCCCTTGATTCTATCCTAGTTTCTTTCATGATTTCGAAATATAATAAAGTTTAAGTTTGGTATTTTTTAGAGTGATAATGGGTGGTCGTAAACCATGTTGTGATGAGGTTGGACTGAGAAAGGGGCCATGGACAGCGGACGAAGATGGAAAACTAGTTGATTTCTTAAGGACACGTGGAGCAAGCGGCGGAT